GGCGCCTGTAGTCCCAGCTACTCGGGAGGCTGAGGCAGGAGAATAGCGTGAACCCGGGAGGTGGAGGTTGTAGTGAGCCGAGATCGTGCCACTGCACTCCAGCCTGGGCGACAGAGTGAGACTCCGTCTCAAAAAAAAAAAAGATCCTTAACTTATCCCATCTGAAAGCCTCTTTTTCCGGGCAAGGTAACGTTCACGGGGTCCAGAGATAAGGACCTGAATATCTTTGGGGGCATCTCTTAGCTACCACACGAGGTCACATAAGATGGCCAAGCAGCTGGGATTCTACTTCACACCCATGTGGCTCTGGAGGCTGCCATCAGTCTTGCCACCATCTCCCCTAGAGCCACAGGGTTCCAATGTTTGAGCTCACGGAATCTGTGTTGCTTCCGGGTACCAAGTGCCATCTGGGAGAGCCAGTTGGGATGCCAGCATACTGGAATTTCTAACTCTTGGATGGTTTGTGGTGGTATGTCAAGGGTGACGACCACCCACAGCCACATCCCCTGGGTATGTGTGTAGGCCACACCTGGAAATCAGCATTTTGAGCAAGTGTCTCAGGTGATTCTCATGCATATAGAAGTTTGAAAACGGCCAATTTGAGGGGTTAGAGTATTTGGAGCTGAGACTGTCCAGAAGAATCCAAACAATCCAAACAATCCAATCCCAGGCTCACCACCAGGGAGGCACTGTGGGAGGAGAGAGGAGCCAGGCCCTCCCTGCTGTGTCCCTGTGACCCCATCAACATGATGGGGGAGTGTCCCTCAGGGGTGAGACACTGGGGGAGGTGGGGTGAGGAGGGGTGTCTAGCTGAAAGCAGCCAAGAGGGAGACTTGATCAGTGTGCTGGGGAGAGAAGGGCCGTGCCCATGAGAGGGAGGGTGGGAGTGGGAGATGCCCCTACATCTGTCCAGGTGGGGTCAAGGTAAAATGCACAGGAGCACAGCCAGGAAGGAGAGACAGCATGTCCAGGAGAAAAGGTGGAAATGCTAGAGGGAGGCCCGCTGCCCTGCCTCAGGTGTCTCTTTATCATTGCTCCTTATTCCAGGAGGAATTTGAGGCAGCTTCTATGAATGCATATATACCAGCCAGGCGCGGTGGCTCACACCTGCAATCACAGCACTTCGGGAGGCTGAGGTGGGAGGATTACTTGAGGTCAGGAGTTCGAGACCAGCCTGGACAACATGGCAAGACTCCACCTCTCTTTTAAAATAGTGATTTTTTATTAAAACGTGTTTTTAAAGAGAATGCATGTATACCTATAGACCGCAATGATATAGGTGCACTGAAAAATTCCATGTGATTCTCCCGCCTCAGCTTCCCAAGTAGCTGGGATTACAGGTGCCTACCACCATGCCCGGCTGGTTTTTTTGTTTGTTGGTCGGTTGGGTTTTTTTGTTTTTTTGTTTTTTGTATTTTTAATAGAGACAGGGGTTTTTACCATGTTGGCCAGGCTTGTCTGGAACTCCTGACCTCAGGAGATCCGCCTGCCTTGGCTTCCCAAAGTCCAGGGATTACAGGCATAAGCCACCTTGCCTGGCACATTTCTTCTTAAAGGCGTCGTATAAAATTATATTAACTGACTGGGTGCCATGGCTCATGCCAGGCCGAGGCAGACGGATCACCTGAGATTAGGAGTTCAAGACCAGCCTGACCAAAATGGAAAAACCCTGTCTCTACTAAAAATACAAAAATTAGCCAGGCACAGTGGTGCATGCCTGTAATCCCAGCTACTCCGGAGGCTAAGGCAGGAGAATTGCTTGAACCCAGGAGGCAGAGGCTGCAGTGAGTTAAGATCGCACCACTGCATTCCAGTCTGGGCGACAGAGCAAGACTCCATCTCAAAAAAAAGAAAAAGCCTGGGCACAGTGGCTCATGCCTGTAATCCCAGCACTTTGGAAGGCCGAGGCAGACGGATCACCTGAGGTCAGGAGTTCAAGAGCAGCCTGGCCAACATGGAGAAACCCCGTCTCTACTAAAAATACAAAAAATTAGCCTGGGTGTTGGCGCATGTCTGTAATCCCAGCTATTTGGGAGGCCAAGGCAGGAGAATTGCTTTAACCCAGGAGGCGAGGTTGTGGTGAGCCAAGATTGCGCCATTGCACTTCAGCCTGGGTGACAAGAGTGAAACTCCGCCTCAGAAAAAAAAAAAAAAGGTAGATCTCATGTTAAGTGTTCTTCCAACAATAAAACAATTTGTAAAAGACTGCAATAATACTATGATATGTAAAATAAAGACATCCAAACAGAAGGAAAATCAAAATAGAAAATGAGACGAGATCAAAGGGAATGTTACAACCCACCGTGTGTGAGGAGGCCAGACAGGGAGGCTCACACCTGTAATCCCAGCACTTTGGGAGGCTAAGGCAGGTCGATCACTTGAGGTCAGGGGTTCGAAACCAGCCTGGCCAACATAGTGGAACACCATGTCTACAAAAAATACAAAAAATTAGCCAGGCGTGGTAACATGCACCTGTAGTTCCAGCTACTCAGGAGGCTGAGGCATGAGAATGACTTGAACCTCATGTAGAGGATGCAGTGAGCTGAGATTGGGGCACTGCACTCCAGCCTCAGTAACAGAGTGAGACTTTGTCCCAAAACAAAACAAAAACCAAATAACAATAAAAAAGCCCTATAATGGTTTCGAAATATGAAATGTGGAATTTGGCTCTGAGCTTCCAAGTGGCCAAATGGAAAAGGGAAAGAATTTCAAGGCTTCTTGTCTATATGATAAAAGCACCCAATTCTCCTGAGAATTCCTTTTCCTGACCCTGAGGTTTAACTGAAGTTTCTCCTATGAGCTCTGTGAACCTTGACCTTAAACATATCCCAGTAACAAGAAATGCAGTCATAGCATCAGGGCATCAGGGCAGTATTCCTTGCAGTAAGCCAAGGATGCAAGGCTAAGCTCAATTTGTTATAAGCAATGGTGGAGGTTTTGGGCGATAGTTACAGGTTGTCTGCAGGCCTCTCCTGTACTCCCCAATTCCTGGGCCCCCAAGAGCAGCCTCCCAGAAGAAGAGACCCTTGTGGGTTGGAGTGGGTGTGCCGTGGATGACTCTGGCAGTGGCCTCTGTCCCAGGACACGTTGGAGAAGTGCGGCAAGTGTGGCGAAGTGGTCCAGGACCACATCATCAGGGCCCTGGGCCAGGCCTTCCACCCCTCCTGCTTCACGTGTGTGACCTGCGCCCGGTGCATTGGGGATGAGAGCTTTGCCCTGGGCAGCCAGAACGAGGTGTACTGCCTGGATGACTTCTACAGGTACGAGAGGGGTTTGGCACCAGGTGGGGTGCAGGGACAGGGCGAGATCTAAGCAGGATGAAGGAGCCGAGCCTGAGTCCTGGGTGCTGGGCCAGAGTTTCCTGTCTACTGGTTTATTATAAAGAATATTACAGGGCTGGACCGGGCACGGTGGCTCATGCCTGTAATCCCAGCACTTTGGGAGACTGAGGCGGGTGGATCACGAGTTCAGGAGATTGAGACCATCCTAGCTAACACAGTGAAACCCCATCTCTACTAACAATACAAAAAAAATTAGCCAGGCCTGGTGGCGGGCGCCTGTAGTCCCAGCTACTCAGGAGGCCGAGGCAGGAGAATGGCGTGAACCCGGAAGGCGGAGCTTACAGTGAGCTGAGATTGTGCCACTGCACTCCAGCCTGGGTGACAGAGCTAGACTCCAAGCAAAACAAAGCAAAAAACTAAAAAATATATATAATGTCACAGGCAGGTACTATTAAGGGTTCTGTTTTACCAACCAAGGCACACAGCTAAGTACCCAAAGTCTCTCCACAGGTAAGTATTGAAACTCTTGGTAAGTATACACATCCCCAAGGACCTGACTTTCGGGCCCTGCTCTGAAACCCCAGACCTCTGGGTCTGCCCTTGGAGCTGAATGACGCAGTGGGGACACACATCTGTTGGACTCAATCCCTGCCCATAAGTTGCTCACCACTCAAGGGGAGAGACAGATGTGCCTCTTAAGAAAGAAGTACTGGCTGGGCACGGCGGCTCACACCTGTAATCCCAGCACTTTGGGAGGCCAAGGTGGGCGGATCACAAGGTCAGGAGTTCAAGACCAGCCTGACCAACATGGTGAAACCCTGTCGCTACTAAAAATGCAAAAATTAGCTGGGCATGGTAGCGCCTGCCTGTAGTCCCAGCTGCTTGGGAGGCTGAGGCAGGAGACTCGCTTGAACCTGGGAGGCAGAGGTTGCAGTGAGCAGAGATTGTGCCATTGCACTCCAGCCTGGGTGACAAGAGCCAAAAAACTCTGTCTCAAAAAAAAAAAAAAAGACAGATGAGATGGGTCCCAGCCCCACTGAACACAGTTCACAATTCAGGCAATCTCCAGTGATGCTGGGAAACCAGGTCTCATTACACAGGTCTCTCCACCTGCTCCTGCCAGGAAGAAATAGACATCTCTGCTTATAGCTGCTAGTGCAGTCCCATAGCAACGGGACTGAAATTGCTCAGGAGGTGAACACCAGCCAGCCCGAGTTCTGACAGCTAATTAATTTATGTGGTTGTGGCATGAACGCCTCCCAAGCATGGGTTTCTTTGCTTCTAGGAAATTCGCCCCCGTCTGCAGCATCTGTGAAAATCCCATCATTCCTCGGGATGGGAAAGATGCCTTCAAAATCGAGTGCATGGGAAGAAACTTCCATGAAAATTGCTATAGGTGTGAGGTGAGTAGAGCCCAGGTGGTTTAATAATATTCCATCGCTGCATTGCCAGGCCCTTGGCTGGGTCGCTTGGACATGGGGACAGGTCAGGGTGGGGGCTGTACTCTCAAATTGCTCACTGTCCTGTAGGAGAAACAAAAGATGCTGGAAATACAACTATAGTCTATTATCAACTCTTCACATTAATGATAAGAAACCAAACTCAAGTTGCTTTCTACAAAAAGAGAATCTGTTGGCTAATGGTGGTGGGATCACTGATGGTATTGAGTGATGGTATCAGGACTCTCTCCATCTTTCTTTCTTTCTTTTTTTCTTCTTTTTTTTTTTTTTGGGATAGTCTTACTTTTGTTGCCAGGCTGGAGTGAAGTGGTATGATCTCAGCTCACTGCAACCTCCGCCTTCTGGGTTCAGCAATTCTCCTGCCTCAGCCTCCCAAGTAGCTAGAATTACAGGCATGCACCACCGCACCTGGCTAGTTTTTGTATTTTTAGTAGAGATGGGGTTTCACCATGTTGGCCAGGTGGGTCTCAGGTGATCCGTCCACTCCACCTCCCAATGTGCTGGGATTACAGGCATGAGCCAACGCTCCCGGCCTCTTTTCCATCTCTTAGCTCTGCCTTTTTTATGTGTTTGCTTCATTTTTGCTGCCTGTGGGCTGGCCTTCTCTGTGGGGAGGTGGGGCACAGTGCATGGGCAGAGGTGGCCCAGGTTTACATCTCCCCGGCTTAGAAACCCTAGGGGAAAGACAGAGCACACCACATCCAGGGAAGCCAGACTGTCCCTAGAAGGCCTCTAATCACCCCAGCTAGGGTCACATGCCCATTCAGGGCCAGTCACTGTGGCTGGGTGCTAGGATTGATAACCCCTGGGGCCAGGGAGGCAGAACCACATTAAAAAAGAGGGGTTGCTACAACCGGAGGAAGGGAGAAGAGGATGCTGGACAGATCTACACCACGTACCTTTTCCGGGTGCCAGGCAAGAGAATGTAGAAATCAGCTTTGGGGGCCTGTTGCAGTGGCTCACATCTGCAATCCTAGCACTTTGGGAAGCTGAGATGGGTGGATTACTTGAGCTAAGGAGTTCAAGACCAGCCTGGGCAACATGGTGAAACCCCACCTTAAAAAAAAAAATGAAATAAAAAATAAATCAGCATTGGCATAAAGAAGGCAGTGCTGGTCTAACCAGGGTGGTAGAATCGAAGGCACTCATGTAGGAGGCAGTGCTTGACTGGGCCTTGCAGGATGAGGAGGAGTTTGCCAGATAGAGGGGAGAAGAAGTCCAGAAAGAGGAGAAGAGCTGTAAAAATCCACAGTAGCATAAGCAAGCCCGAAGAATCAGAGGAAGTGGAAGCGTCTTTTCCTTTTCCTTTTTTTTTTTTTTGAAATGGAGTTTCACTCGTGTTGCCCAGGCTGGAGTGCAATGGCG